GTCTCTTATTTTTAATTGAGTTACAAGAAATAACAAAATTTAAAAAGGACGGGCATACTTTGCACGTGGGTGCAGCCACTGTTGTAGGTGAGAAGTTGGGAAGGTAGGCTACAAACGGAAATTTAATGAATATTTGTTAGCAAAGATAAACCATTGATACGATTCTGAGCCGAGTTCAGTTGATAATGTTGCTTTGCCAACAATACAATATATGGTACTATGTAATATTATGATAAAATTATTAAAACAATGTGCGTTTCCATGATAACCATGATTGTTTAAAAAAGATTAAAATAATAAAAACTTAATAATAACAAAAAATAAATAAAAATGGTTGCCAATGACAAAATCATTTTTTGAAAACGACCTCTCCAAAGTACTACCCAGAAAAAATTTCCTTTCATAAAAAGTGGTATACTTGATAATCGAAGTATGCTTTCGGGCAGAAAAACTGTTCACATAAAAAAATAAATATCATTGTAAAATCAATAGATTCCTCGTTCTACTCAGAATGTAAAATGTAATGAAAGCATTATTTTCATGAATTTCCCGTTATTTTACGTTTTATCCTGGTTTTTCCCAGATATTATTAAAGTCGTTTGGAAAATCAAAAAATAACCTTCCAAAAGTACCATCTAGACAATATTTCGTTTCAGAAATTATGTATGCCACGCGTACATATCGGATTAAAAATTGTTGGTAGAATATTTGTACACAGTTTAAAATAAACATTTTAATAAAACCAATAGATTCTTTGTTACTCTCAGAATTTAAAATAAGATTTCATAATATGGAAAAATCAAAATAAACTGTTATTCATTTGCACCAAATATCACTACGAGTATACATATATGACAATCTACAAGAGATTAATTTCGTCCGGAGTATTCAGTTTCAATAAATAAGTGATGAATATTGGTCAATTTGATTGACTGTTGGCCAGAAAAATAAAATTTATTGCCAAAATGAGTTGTGTAAAGAAAATTGAATAGAAATTCTGATTTAAATAAACATTAACTCGTTAGTTATCATCACATTATTATATCACCGGAGAGGTAAAATAAAAATTAATTAATGCACAAATGTATTAAAATGTAGATCTAGTTTTTTAATGGACATTAATTAATGAGTTTACTTATATTATGACATAAATAGAAGACATATTAGGGTGAATACATTGTTTTTTGACGTCAATTTCGGGACCCCGACCCCCTCCGAGTCTTATTGTCATCGTCTTCTCTCATTTGCTGAAACCGAAGTTTGACTTTGTTTCTTCCATTCGGGATCATTTAAAGTTTTTAATAAACACTGACGTGCCGGAGGCAGACGCAAAGTATAACACCGCATGACAGTGTTTATAATAATAATAATAATAATAATTATATAATATATCACACGAAGGCATAATGGAATTTAGACGAGCAAAAAACCTTTTTCATACCGCCGTATACATACACTTCATACAGGGTAATTTTTTTTCTATAATAATCCGGAGATTATCTACAAAGATTTGGAGTAAAATTAATTTTTTTGTTTACATGGAATTTTCCCAGAAAATAATGACCATTCCACTGTATTATGTCTACGCTTAAATGTAATATATATATATATTACTATACTTTTTGACACGTTTAGGACCAAATGATCTCAAACTCGGAAATTAAAGTTTTTCATTTTAAATGGATTGAAGTGATGTAATTTTGGTTGATTTCCACTATGAATTTCACTATGTTCTAGGAAAAGGTGTTTCCTAAATAGTTTACACCCATCCATGCCCTCCCAAATTAAGCTAGGATAATAGAATTCTGTATATGCACGGAAAAAATATCAAGAATATTCCTTTTAGTGGTTTCGACGTTTTTACAATATTTTATAGAAATGTTATAGACGTATAGTTGTAATAATTATACTGTATACTGCCTACATAAGTAAAAATGTTGTAATTCACTAGAGAACGTTTATGAGAAAAACGGATTTTTATATTTTGTATTTTTTAAACTTCATAATACCTCTTAAATTTTAAATATCAAAGTATGGTATGGATTTTTATGCGTAATTTTATCTGATAAATGAAATGGAGTATAAATAAATATAAATTAATAATTTCTGAAGTACTTATATAACTTTTTATATTTATAACTCATAATAATACTATTGGTTACAAATATATTTTGCACATGTCACGTTGCATACTACATTACATAGTATAGTATTATATTAGTTAATAGTACCCGGTTATTTATTGTTTTACAACGAATATGTATAAACCTAATACAAAAGAAGTGGAGAAAATTCGAATCTTGCGATGGAGCTCTACTCACAGTTGTTTATTTTTTTTGTTTCGAACATTATAAAGATTCTTTTAATGATATTAATTACAATATTTATTTCAAATATTACCCTTTTCCTTACATAATAAACACACGCATCGATTTTTAATTTTTAATCAATCAAGATTAAGTATTTTCGACATAGGTTCTGATTGAGAAAATATATATATTTTTTTAATTTTATAGATTTGTGTAATACTATTATAATTCTAAAAACTATCTTCAAAATACCTACATAATATAATACACTTTTAGAATGTATTACTACATACTTTAAAAATTGCGGACATTAATTATTTTAAATGGATATATACCTATACTCGTATTATTTCTCAAATTTGAATATTTGTTAGTCATTTTATCAGTAAAAGTTATTGTATTATTACAAGACTGGTTTTTTTTTTAAAAAAATCAAAGTATTCAGGTGTCCCGTCTATTATGTACCACTTAATATCTCAGCTCAAAAGCTCGGTCAGTTTTAGGTTTAAGACCATGGTTAATGAATAAAAGTGACTTGGAAATAAATGATCTATCTATCTCTGGTGATAAAAATAAAAGTTGTAATTAAAAAAAAATAGTAATTTTCATGGAGCCTTCTCTCACTGAAAGGTTTCAAAAAAAAAGAATCTCAAACGCTGTAAAGTTAGTTTTTTAATTTTCTTCTTTTTCCGGTTTTCCCAATTATTATAAGAGCTACTTGGAAATAGTTACTAACATCGTGAGCAAAAAAATCAAAATTTTACAAAAAAAAAAAAAAGACTTTATGCATTTTTTGATTAAAGCAATATTTCTAATAGAAAACATAGTTTGTAAAGATTAAAACCAATGAAATCGGTAACGCCGCGAGGCGCCATAAATATTTTTCCTTTTTATCTATAATTTTTTTTTCCGGTTCTCTCTACGCTCCAAATCTAAAAATTACTATAGTTCAAAATTTAAAATGATATCTGAATATACCAAATGTCGAAATTAATAATAACCGAACGCATACGGTACAACGGAATTGTTATTATTTATTTTAGGAATAAGTGGCGTGTTTTAGATTGTGTCAAGGGCGAATATATTGAATTTGAAAATAATATCAAATTGTCATAATTCTATTTTACGCCTATATAAATTGATTTTATAATATTAATATACAGAGTGTAAAAAGACTATATTTTAACAAATGTCATAACTTTTTGATTTTTATTGAATATTTTTAAGTTTTTTTTTTTTGTAATAATTACTTAAGCTCTGCGTTTTTACATTTTATTTTATTATTTTATAATTAACATTTTTTTTTTTTTATAATCTAATAGCTATTTGAACTATTTCATAAATTAATATTGAAAAAAATTATTGGGGTTTAAAACTAACAATTACGTTACAACATTAATTTTTATAATTTTTTAAGTTTGTAAATACTAATTTATTTTTTGCTCATTTTATTAACGATAAATTATATTTGACTAACGATGAATTATAAGGGTTAATCAAATTCACAGCTTAAATTAATATGTGAAGAATATTATCATTTTGCATAATTTTTCATGGATAATCAAATTAATCATTTCAAAATTTAAGGACGAAAAAAAGTCATTTTTCACACAGCTTTAAAATGTGTTCAAAAATAATTGACTCAACCTTAGTTAAAGTTTTTGATAGCATTACATGACTAAAGTTCAGTTTTACAAAATAGCTATGCCTAATGTAAAAAAAATAATAAAAAAAAAATACTCACCAATATTCAATAGTACAAACTTATTACATATTTTACGAATTTTTAAATGGTGTTGTCGAAGCAAAAAATGATAAAAACACTTTTTACATAACAAGTGAAAAATATGGTATATTATTGAACGAGGTGAACGAATAAAAATCGGTCAAAGGCCGACTAATATCTAAATAATAACACTATCGGCGACTTAAACGGTTTGATATTGTTAATATTGGCGGAGAAGAAAAACTGATTATCGTTACTGATTTTAACGCCTGGGTACAAAAGCAGGAACACTCTCACAACTGTTCACTCGCAATCAGTTTACATTACGTGAAGAAAATTTTTTAAAATCGGCAATTATACCAGATAATGAATTTGATATTCTACGAGCAGTGTCGCGACTGTTTTTTGACTGGTGGACAAAGGTGTGATTGTTTGAAAAAATGTATGACTAACAGATGTAACTGATGTAAGCGCCGATCCAAAATTGTATTGTGCAACTCAGGATGCCACAATAGCTAAGCCTGCACAAATAAATAATTTAATATTAAAATTAATTGAATTATAATAAAAATAATATACTAATAACTAATGTACCTAGTACCTATAATAAACTGACGTCTAACACTGTGGTAATATGTAATAATAATATAAATTTGTTGTCATAACATATAACAATAATATATACAGTGAGTGTAAAAAGTATTCGTACACTCTACATTTTAAAATAAATATTAATTTTTCTCCATGATATTTTATTTTATTTATTTTCTCGATGAATTGATACATGCATATTATTCTTTTACAATTTGTAATTAAATTAAAAAAAAAAAAACCATGACAACAGTTATATTAATAATAAATATCAATAACAAACAAAACAATAAATAAATAATAGTAAAAAAAATAATAATAATAATAAAGAGCTGTACCAAAAAAAATGCCTTTAAATTATTGTATACACCTATTTAGTACTTTGTAGGGTAGCCTTTGGACCTTATTGTAGCTTCCAACCTCTTAGACATTGAATCAACCAGATGACGTATTGTTTCTGCTGTGATTTTATTCCATTCCTTTTCTAGAGCTTTTTTTAGAGTTTCCTTACTTAAAATATTGTGATCTCGAATTTGTCTGTCCAAATAATCCCACAAATTCTCAATAGGATTAATGTCTGGAGACTGTGGTGGCGTCACAAGATATTCAGTTATATTGTTCGACAACCAAGCCTCAACTTTTTTTACAGTATGCTTGGGATCATTGTCCTGTGTAAATATAAAATCATCTTTGATGCCCATTTTTTCGGCACTAGCTGCAAGATTTGTCTTCAAAATATTTAAATAAATATATTGGTTCATAATTCCATCAATAAAGTGCAAGTTTCCAACACCCTGAGCATTCATATATCCCCAAACCATTACAAAACCTCCTCCGTATTTCACTGTAAGTGGGTATCTAAATTTACAAGTCATTAATATAGTACCTAATATACTTAAATAGTAATAATTATTAATAATTAATAACATAATTGGTAACAAATTTTGGACTTTCACTAACATTAATTGTTTATCTCAAAATTTACCAAATCTCGTTTGTAAAAGTCCGAACTACAAAAGTCATTCTAGGTTTGACCAAACAATTTTGTTTATCCTATGTTTTACCGAAATCAATTGGTAAATGTCCAAATTTCAGACATTTACCAACAGAAGTCGGCGAAACGTAGAATTTACCAAATAAAAACAAACTCGATCTACAAAACAAAAACCGTGTTGTAACTTATAATATTATGTTATTTAAAATAACGACGTGATGTCTCATAATCATAAATATAATATGATTTAGACTTATTAAAAAACGACAGTGTATATAGAAAATCGGTATTCCACTAATGTTCGGATTCATCGTTTTATTACACAAATAACACAAACCGAGGATAAAAATTCTCTTCAACCGAGCAGTAAATCTCTGACTTGCACGTGGTGTAACGACTTACAGTTAAGTAATTCAAAATAACTGTTCACGATATTCATTTTATAAATCTTCCACCGAAAAGGAAATTAATTCTACAAGGGCTAGTGGTTAATAAAGAGTTTAGGGTGTTTTTTTAAAAATTATTAATTTAAAACTTCGACGGAATACGTTCATAATTATTGTACACATTTTTATTTATAAGTATAATTCCGAGTGCCTCAAAATCGACATCAGAGATAAATACAGAAATTATTAGAACAAAATATTAAAAATAATAATAATAAAACCGGTGGATATACTGGTTGTGGATAGGTCACTTGTATCGGTAGGAATATTATAATTATAGAACAATTTAGTTGAGGGTCACTGTTTTCGACCAAAATGTATTAACCTTTCTCTTTTCCACGAATACACACGTTTTCACCTAATTATTTATTATATAGTAATATTATACAGTATCCTGATATCATGATTAAGAACAGGTGACCAATATAATTAACGTGTACATAATATGTGTATTACGAATTATATTGTAAGATACAAGTTCAATTACTTTGGTGTTATTCAGCGTCGAAGTTGAATAGGTGGTAATCGCATATTTTTGTTATTCGGCTATTTTGATTTCATTAATGTCTACTATAATTCTCTTTCTTATTAAGATTTCGTTTCAGATTGGGTCACATAATAATAATATAATATAATATAATTATTAGACGATTAAACGGCTGCAGCTGTTATATTATTAAAGTAATTATAATATGACATTGGTTATTTTTTTTTTTTTTTTTTTTTTTTTATATAATTTTGATATTTTTTAAATATTGTTAAACAAATAAATGAAAAATAAAAATTTAGTTTTTGAAAATAAATACAGACCAAACGAATTCTTGTGTTTCGTTCTAAATGATGGATCAGAGTATCATATATTGTTCGTGAAAACTTGACTAAACGACTCGACAATTTTACTGACGTTTTGGAACTAAAGTTTAATTTTTTATGTATACATATATATCTACTCCGGATTTCGGATTCGCACTAGAAAGCAATCTCTTTTGAATGCCCAAAGGCGTTTTTCAGTTCTCAAACAAAAGGCCTTCATATAGCAGAATATATTTCATTGCAGGCGGAAACTTTCTTTCAGCTTAACACTCAAAGAATGTAGAAAATGTAATATATATATACTCGTATTATATATTACATTGTATTTATTCCTAAAACAATTTAAATTTAAAAACCGTTCCGAAGTAAGTTTATTGTTTATACACCATAATTAAATTTTGATGCGAATGAAAATTGTATTAAATATTGTTCGGAAGACAGATTTTTTTTTATATTACAGCTAAATTAAAATCTCCCTTGATGTTGTATAAACACAATATATATGGATACACAAATAATGCCTATACATTGTTTGATAACAAGAAGGAGTCTTATTTCTCGAATCAAACAACATCTTCTTATAGGTCTAATACCGTGCTAACTGTCAATAGCGCTTTTGGATAATCATCGTGATTAGTGCCCAATCTTGATATTCGTCTAGTTTCATTCATTTGGCATCCCAAAAATTGGTAGTGTCTTCCCCCCTCCTTAGTATAATCCTATCTATACTATACTTATACATTTTCTTTAGAATTGAGTCTTATTATTATCATACAATAATAATCGATTGAAATCCAGAAAATTGTTCACATAACAAAACGAAATTTTCTTTCAGAAAATATGCTAAATTTGAAATTTAGAGTAAGATTTATGATTTAAAAATAATTGCCTAGTTTTTTCTAACTATTAAAAAAAACTATAAGAAAAATCAAAAAATGTAGGCCTCATAAATAGAAACATATTTTTAATGTAAGTGACTATTTAGTCACAGGATTAAGAAATATCGATGAACCATATCCAAAGAATTTATATATGTGTGGTCTTTTTTTATCCCTATTAAAACAAAAGTAATCTAAAATGGGACACGGATTGGTAATTAAAACATATTTTACGCCAACAAATAGTTCTGTTTATTTATATTCGTAAATGATTCCTCATAAACACTATAATTTAATGTTGTCACCTATTACACATAGATAGAAAATGTAGCGACAGTTGTCGTAAAAAAAAAAAAAAAGAGCTGATATAGGGACAGGTGTGTCACTGTTTTAAGTGGAAAGTTGGAAAGGTAGGATACATATAGTTATTTAATTTAGAATTTTTTTTACATTTAGGTATTAATAAAATACATTGATTTGATCATCTTTATTATCTCCTGAGATATTCAAGAGGTGTATCTTCATAGAACAGCTTGTATGTTATGTATTTTATATTTTATGTCAATTTTATTTATTTTAGGAAATGAATAATTAACGTGTTGTACTAACAGCATGCCGTATACTCGTATGTCAAATAAATGATTTGACCGTAAAAACGATAGGCAGTGTTGTATAAAGATACATTTTTAAATATTTAGATAAAGATAAGAGATAGATAGCAGAAAATTTATCTAGATGAAAATAAAAGATACATCAGAATTTAATTATCAAGATAAAGATAAAATTATAGAATTTTTTATCTAGATAAAAAAATATATAGTTGTTTAATAGGTTAGGTATCTATCATAAATCTAAGTGCTTAAAGTTTACCAAATATATAGCACATCTAAATTTCATAACAACTATATTTTTTATGTGAATATTTGCAGTTTCACCTATAATTTTCTTTCGGGTTTTTTCCATTTATTTTGGAAACTCTTCAGAAAATCAAAAACTGATCTCCACAAGTAACTAACTAGATAAAATTATCTTTCAGAAAAGGTGCTGCACTTGATACTTCGGAACTTTTCTGGTAGAAAAATTGTACACAGGCACAAAAAATAAAAAAAATAATAAAAAAACTGCACACACCATAGTAAAACTAATAGATCCCTCACTACTACGCTCCGAATCTAAGAAACACGGTTGCATACTCTTTAAACTATTTTCTTGTTATGCATAAATAATCTATCTATCTATCTATCTATCTATCTATCTATTTCCCTATTATGTAGTAAACTACTAGAGAAATTCTCTGGATTCAATACTTCCCGTCCCCATTACTAACAATTTTTCTTTTCGTTTTTGTATACACATTTTTTTTTTCGTATCATCTACCTTTGCATAAATCTATAATCATTTTTAAAGTATAATATTTAGTACAGTTTTTATATCGAAACATAAATAACCTAATCTAAAAATCTAAAACATTAAAAATAAAAGCCGGATGAATTTGCTTCGCGTGTTAACACTACCTACTGAAATTGTTATTTAAAAACTTAAAATGACCTTTAAAAATAAAAACTACAGACCATTAATGAAACGATGGTATATATTACGTATTTAATTATAAATTTTTCAAATGAAAAATTTTAAAATAACGAGTAACTTGTGTTTAAAAAATCACCTGAGTTTAGAAGTTAAATAATTGTTTCTGTGTGTGGGTGTGTTCCCTTACATTTTCATTTTCCTTACGTCGATTTTCACTCTTTGAAGTCGTAATTTTAATTGAGTTCGTACATAAAGTATCCTTGTTATGTACTTGTACGTATACATTTGTTTAAACATGGCGTATAGTGATTGTGTATAAGTACTTTTTATGGTTTGAATGTGCTCTTCTTTATTTTTGTTATAAACGCGATGTGCGAACACCGTTGTTTCGTATACATTGGCTTGTAATGCTTGTATAATACAATTTTGTTTAAATTAACGCAATCTTTCACAAATCTTTATAACTTTAGAGTACCTATTAAACGAAAAGTACTACCCAGATAAAATTTATTTTTAAAAAAGGTGCTATACTTGAAAATTGGAGCAAGGTTCTGGTAGAAGATTGGTTCACAGAAAAAAAAATAAACATCATTGTAAAACCAATACATTACTCACTTCTTTCATGATCTAAATTAACAAAATTGTTGAATATCTAAAAAAAAAAATGAATGGATATGATCCTTTTTTTTTTAATCATGGCTGTTTTTTTATTTTTAGGAGAATATTTTATTTTAACCTTGTTTAATTTTCAAACTTAATTAATTTTTACGTTTATTATACCTAAAGTCTTTTACATGTTTTCAAACTATATTGTTTTTAGTGTTTTATTATATAAATTATTTTAAATAAATATCATTTATTATTTTCGGAATGAAATTCTTTAAACAGTACAAAATCCATAATATTTAACTACAGTTAAATCTATTTATACGTTAAAAAACCGAATATGACTGATAAGCTGGCCAAAGAAACTATTTACCATAATGATGGATAAGTTTTGAATTTTGATAAACAATGACATAATCTCAATGGTGCATATGCGTATAGTAAATATTACAACAAAGTTTGCCCATGATAATGCACGATATTGCACTATGTATAAGCCCATCATTTCAGTTGGTTGCATGCATAAAAGGTATATAAGGTAATTTTATTTATATTCTGAAAACACCGATGATAATTCCAATCAAAACACAATTATAAGTGGAATAATA